ATATATATATATATATATATATATACATTTTTTTTTTTTAATGGGAAAAATATTGAGCAATGGAACTTCTGGTAAGATGGCGGAATAGCCAGACAAGCTACACAGATCCTCTTCAACAAAGAAATGAGAAACCAATTGACACAGACATAGAAGATAATCCTGGAGCCCTGAGCTTTGTGAAGAAGGATAAAGAAGTGGGTTAAACACCAACCAGTAGAAGAACCAGAATGAAAACAGCAAGTAAGGAGACAAATGGAGCTGCAGACTGTAAGCTGTCCTGACAGCATGGACAGCCTGAATACTTCCAAGTGGTGTTAGGACCTGAGAATTAATCTAAAAATTGGCCCTGCCTGGCTTTCAGCCCAATAGTAAATAAGATATACACGCAGACCACTCAACCCAGGGTGGCGTACCCGCATACTCTATGAAGGTGCATCCCCTTGGAGCAATCGACCACAGGGCACCAGAGGGGCAACATTCACATGGAGGAAATGCAGGACACACAGGAGGGCATAACTATGAGGGGTATGGGGAGGGGGGGTGTTACAGGGCAGGAAAAGGTGGAGACTGGGTTAGGGTTGAGGAAAAAAAAAAAAGAAGAAGAATTAATAAACGTAAAAATTGGCCCTGCTTACCAAGGGCAGCATGGACTACTGCCTGGGTAACTGATGACTGAAAAGGGAAAGAGCAAAGAAGGAGATAAACTGAGCTGTGGACTTTCAGCTCTCCAGGGGGCACAGCCATTATAAGCATTTATAAGTGGCAGCTGGATGTAGCCATTTTGAATGTTTACAAGTGGTAGCTGGGTGCAGCCACTTTCAATGTTTACAAGCAGTGGCCATTTTGGATATTTAAAGTGACAGCACTCTTTTTCAGAATCCAGGGACCTAAGAATAGGCTCTGCTTGCCAAAGACAGCATGGATATGGGAGGCTGAAGACTGGAAAGGCGACAGGTGGCAAATGCATAAGTGCTGACAAGTAGCAAAAGGAGGAGCACAGTACCCTGCTTACTCAGATACATCCAAAGAAAACTAAAATCTTAGGCAAATCACTCCAACATACAATCACCAATTAAATATAAACACAAAAACATCACAATGTCTCGGAGAAAACAGATCATCACAATCTACAAAATGAAGCAAGATAAAGGAGTAGAAACAAGAGACCAGGATACAGACCTAGAACACATCCCTGAGGAAGAAGCAGCATTGAAAACTCTCTGATAATGAATTCAAAAGAATTATATTTAGGTACCTTCAATGGATTGAGAGCCAGATCAAGGAAAACATTGACAAACCCCTAGTCTAATTTCGGAAGACAATACAAGAACAAAATGACAAAATAAATGAAAAACTAGAAATGATACAAAATCTACAGATAGAAATCCAGAAGATTAATACTAAATTCTCAGAAATAGATAACACAATGAATGGGCAAAGGGGTAGAACTGAATCAATGGAAGGCAGAATTAGTGAGATTAAAAACAAATACCTCAATACTTTTTTGGAAAGGGATCAATCAGAAAAAAGATTAAAAAAAATGAAGAAAGCCTAAGATTCACGTGGGATATCATCAAAAGGAAAGACCTACTTGTAATCAGAATTCCGAAACAGGAAAAGACAAACAAACCCACAGAGAAAATTGTCAAAGATTAGTGGGAAGAGCATTTCCCTGGTATGATTAAAGATGAGAATACATCCATTGAAGAAGTCCAATGAACCCCAAACAGGACAGACTCCAAAAGAAAATCACCAAGACATATCATCATCAAACTCACCAAAACCAAACACAAAGAAAGAATCCTGAAAGCAACGCAGGAAAAACAAAAAGTTACCTACAAAAGGCAACCAATAAGACTAAGCTCGGATTTCTCAGCAGAAACCATGACAGCAAGAAGACAATGGGATGGTGTATATAAAACCCTGAAAGAAAAAAATTTCCAACCAAGAATTATATACCCTCAAAAACTGTCCCTCAAATATGATGGTAAAATTAGGACATTTCCAGATAAACAAAAATTAAGCAATTTTGTTCAAATCAGATCAACCTTACAAGCGATGCTAAATGGAGTCCTTTGGACAGAGAACCAACAACAGCAAACAACAACCAAACGTTAACACACATGATGACATAAAACAGAAACCAACCTAGTTATGGAATTATCCAAAGTAAATAAGCCTACAAGATTGTAAACAGGAAACCAAAGACATCAATTGACAAATGAGGACAACTACAAACCAAAAAGAGGGAAAAAACTGTGTAGTTACAGAAATTCTAAATGGTGAGGAAGTCAAGAGAGTTGCAAGATAGAATGGATTGTTCTAAACATGGAAAGAAAATTATAGATCACAGGGTAATCTCAAAGAAAAATGATAAACTTTCACATCAAATTAAAAAAGAATAAAAGCACAAATATATAGCAAATACTAAAACAACAGCAGTGAAGGAAGTAATAACATGATTCATAAACAAAACAAGCTCAGCACAGAAAATTATACGGAACAAAGAAATGAGTAACACCACGAAAAAACACATAACAAAATGACAGCAACAAATTCATACTTGTCAATAATTACACTGAATGTCAATGGATTAAATGCACCACTCAAGAGATGGAGAGTTGCAGACTGTATAAAAAAATCATAACCCATAAATACGCTGTCTACAAAAGACACACCTTAGAGAGACTTCCAGTAAGATGGAGGAATAAGCAGACAAGCGACACAGACCCTCTTCAATAAAGAAAAGAAAAACCAATTGACAGAGATACAGAAGATAATCCTGGAGCCCTGACCTTTGAAAGGAACTATGCAGAAGTGGATTAGGCACCAA